ATCCATTTTTGTTCTATCTTTCCTCCTCAGGTGCTGAGGTGGGCATCAGCACATCACGGATCCATGCCCGTGGGCCAGTGGGAATTGAGGGGCTCTTGACGACTAAGTGGTTGCTACGTGGAGACAATCACATTGTTTCTGACTTTTCTGAGCAAGGGAGCATGAAATACCTTCATGAAAACCTTCCCATTCCACAAAGGAATATTAACTGAAAATCTAGTGAAGAGTATGGTACTTATAGGGCTGTTGTTATTTCAGAACCTAACCTGGGAAGGAAATGAGCCTTCTCTAGGTATGCAGAGGTTTCTGCAATTTTGGCTTTATGTGTGCTCAGGAGTGTGGAAAGGGGGGTTCTCTGCTTTAGTCCTCCCCCCCCACCCCCCTGACTCAACTACATTATGTAGGTGACACATGCAGATGCATACAGGACCTCTTGCGGTACAGGAAAAAAGAACTTTTGATCTTTCTTTAATGATGATGATGATGTGCCATCAAGTCTTTCTCATAGTTCACTCCAAATCACTGGGAAGGTTTTGGCTGGTAACAGAACTGAATGCCTTTTTTCCCTGAAGCTTTTCTTGCTTTGAGAAAAACATTGGGGACATTTTTTTCTTTCTCCTTCTCTAGAGATTTGTAGCAACTTACTTTAATTTTTAAAAGTGGTCCATCGGTTCATGTCTTATTTAATATATTGAATTACCTTAATAAATATTCCAGGTACAAAATGAATGGTCTTTATCCTCCAAACATTATTTTTCATGCCTAGTATCCTTTAATTACTGACTGCCTTGTGGGATAAGAGGCTAAGGCAGTGATATCAGTCAGGGTTTTTTCACTATGACCCTTTTATGAATATTTGTATCAAATATTTTGTCCATGAATTTTATATAGAATTTTATTTCCCCTGAGACAGAAACATATTTTTCAAATATCATGGTTTTGCAAATAAAACTCCCTTGCAATAAAATTATGGATTCAACCATTTTGTTTGCAATATATTGTGTTGTATTAGTGATGGGTGACACATTTATGTAGCTTGCAGTACACATTGTGGAGTTGTACTTGATTAGCACTCATATTTTTGTTTGGCAAAATCATTTTAATCTTTCAAGCTCGCATAAACCTTATGAGCTAAGTGGTAATTGCTTCTATTTTGAATACATCATTCAGAGCAAGATGCTGATTTGCCCATATTAGCAAGCTTCTAACTGAACCATGAAGCTATGTTTTGATATCCAATATTGGCACTTGATCTTCTGAACTGGACTGCTTTCATTGCATCTCTCACAGGCCTAATTTATGATAGATCTCAGTTTAATTTCCCACATAGTAAAGTTGTGTATCAATGTGTGCATTCCTGTTTTTTGCTTGATTAGATCAGGGCTTTTCAACCTTTTCACCCATTGTACCACTTTTAGGATATGGCAACATCCGAGTACCACCAATTGCCTAGCAAGGTGTCAAAAACAAAAAAGGAAAAAAGTGATAAAGTACAGGTAGTCCTTGACTTACAACAGTTCGTTTAGTGACTGTTCGAAGTTACAATGGCCCTGAAAAAAGTGCCGCCCCCCAAGCCACAGCCTGCCTGCCCGGCGGCGCTCTTCCTCCTGTTCGAGGTTTTCATTGTGAGCATTTCTGTTGAGGATTAGCAGCGGGGGGGGGGAGTCTTTGGTTTTTATTCCCCCCGTCTGCTGGGTGGTCGCAGCAGGTTTTGGTCACTTCACATGACCCTGGGACACTGTGACCGTCATAAATATGAATCGGCTGCCAAGCATCTGAATGTAAATCACAAGACCCTGGAGATGCTGCAACATTCCAGCTGATCAGCGCTTCTTCTGGGCTCAGCAGAAGCGCCAGGATCAGCGCCGAGCTCCAGCTGGAGCCTGGCGCTGATCCTGGCGCTTCCACTGAGCCCTGACAGCCCCGAAGTGCCGATCAGCTGGAAAGCGGCACTGATCCTGGCGCTTCCGCTGAACTCTGACAGCCCTGCAGCTCCAGCCGTCTCTCGCTCAGGCTTGTGCGGTGCTGCCACCAGTTCAGCTCATTCCCCTCTCCCGCTACCACTTTTCTAGGATGGTCGCGTACCACCTGCCAGGTGCCAATGTACCACAGGTGGTACCAATACCACTGGTTGAAAAGCCCTGGATTAGATAGTCCAGTGAAAACTGTTTCCAAGGAAGGTTTTTATCTGGAGCTATAAAAACGTCTGGAAAATGTTCTGACCCTTAATTTTTATATTTCAGATATTTATAACCTATCTCAGATATTTATAACCTATTATTCCTACACATTCCATATAAGAGAAGATAGTACTTAATCTAGTCTCCATTATGTAATGCCCAAACAGAAGTTCAATTCATTTTGTGTTCCCTGACTTAAAAAACTATACTTTGACAGGATTTGATGTATTTGATATATTTGATGTACATTCTTCCAATGGTAGATAGCTATAAGAAAAGTACAGTCGTGATGCTCCTAGTATGGGAAGGAATCAGTTTTGTTTTGAAAATGGATGTACTGGGCTTTGTTGCCTATTGGCCTTAATCCTCTCCTCATTGGTTGTGGGAGTGGATCTTAGTTCTTTCCCCAAACAGGGAAAGGACACTGGCAATTTTAGTAGATGTGTGTATGTAGTTTTGTGCCATTTCTTCAAACTGAGTCTCCATTTAATTGCCACATGTGTTTTCCTAACCTGTTGGTTTTCTTTATGTTTGATAACATACTGCAAACGTGTTACATATACTGTTTGTTTTCCCATATACTCACATGCCTGATATCTGATTTATGCTGTTTGCACAAAAATTGCCTTTGGAGAAATCATTGAATGTGCACAACTACTCTTCCAAAGTACCAACTTTGGAATGTTTGTTCATTTATTAATGTCAAAAGCATCACAATTAAAATAAGGCATACTATACGACATAAAATTTACAATATAAAATACAAGATTAAAATATGTACAAATTAAACTGATTTTGTCCTGAAACTAGCAACTTTAATTGCATTCTGTCATGTACACTAATTGGGACACAAAGGGCAGGTACACATACGTGTTGTTGTCTGCATGTCACCACAATCGCAAAGAACAGAAGCCACCAGATAGCCCTATTTGTTCAGAGTATCTCTGGATCTTGATGTACTCGTGGGGAGTCTATCCAACGATTTCCATACTTCTCAGCTTTTGTCAGTCTCTGCTGAGCTGGCTGTAGGCCATAGAGAACACAGAATTTTGGAATGATTTTACATCAAGATTGTTTTATTTTCTTGCTGATCTTAATATTGTTCAAATGCTGCCTTATTAATCTTATGAATTTAAAATTATTTAGAATTCTATTTTTAATGTAAAAATTTGTGGGAATCTTGTGGGTTGATTTGAAAATAAGTGAAGTAGCTATAAAAATATCCAATATAATTTAGATAGCCATGTGTGTATTAATTGGTTTCTTCGTTATGCACTTTCTGGACAAGTGAAGGAGCTGAAGAAGAAATATCCACCATTCTGTAACATCAAGTGACACAAAAGGACTTCTTTTTACCTTGTACTAAATGGTACCTTTGTGGACTGGTAAAGTTGATTATTGATTACGGTATGTGTCATCAGGTCATTTTTTATTTCAAGTGACTACATAGATTTTCTTCATGATAATATCTATCTAGTCTGATATTTCAGATCTTCCAATATTACATCCATTGCCACTGTAACTGAACCCGTTCACTTAGCTGCAGATCATCCTCTACTTGTCCTGACTGGTAAATACTTATAGTTTAGTTGTGAAATTGCTGTGTCACTATCTAGCTGTTTTGGATAAGTACAGGGATTCCATACACCAGGTTGTTAGCATACATTATATAATCATTTTTCTACTGATTAAAGTTTTCAACATATTAGCTTGAGTTTGACACATTGATATTATGGTCAAGATCACTGTTATCCAGCACTGTACTAGGGAATACCGTCTAATCAGCTGCTTTGTTGTGTTAGTGTGATCTTGCAGCATGCTAAATGCTTTCAAACATAGTTTATGCTACCCCTGTAGCCTTGAGGAGCCTTATTGCTTCTGTTTATTGATCTGAAACTAGACTGAACTGACCTGAACTGAATATTAAGCAATTCACTTAATGGTGGCAAGAAAAGTTGTAAAATGGGGCAAAACTCACTTAATGTCTCACTTAGCAACATAAATTCTGGATTCAATTGTGGCTGTAGGTCAAGGACTACCTGTACTTGCCCAAATACTTGGAAATGCCCATTGGATTTTAACACTGAGGGGTCTCCAAATATTCAATAGCAACTTGAGAATCCAGCAATACAAGCATATAGAATAGATCTCGATCACTCTCTAAAGAATATTTTACATTCCACCAACCATATCACATAACTCTAATTGTAATATTATTGATTTGGTCTTTTTATCCAACAATTTTCTGAAGTTTGATTCAATCATTCTAGGTCTATTACCGCTGCTTCTTTGGACAGTTTGCTTGATTCTAGAGATGGAAACACATGCTTTCTACCAAAAGTAATACAATAGTTGATGGCTCATCTCTGAATGGGTTTTTGTTTTGAACATGTGGTAACAGAAGCACTATGACTACCCAATCATCCCCAAGGGAGTCTACAAAAAAATCATGATGGGTTTATAACTGCCAAAGGACAAAAATCCTCAGCCTGCTTCAGTCCTTCTCTTAGTTCCAGATTCCTGTAAGAGTGCTATTTCCTGGTTCTGAGAAACATCCATTTCTTCTGCTCTCCAGAAAGTACACGTTCTTTATTCATTCTAGTTTATTTTCTTCTCTATTAGTACACAATCTAGAGAGGGTCTTTTGTTTCCAGGTTAATGCTACAGGTTAATACTATTATTATTCTATAAGGCTATGTTCAGGCTCAAATCAATCTGCTGCAATTTTAGAGAAGGGTGAAACAGTCTGTAATATAATCCTTGAGGCTGCCAGCAGAATAAATATAGCACCGTGCACAGATGGCTGCAGAACAAGGGATCCAGTTAATCTAGCCTCATGATAATTTGGGATATCCCTATTTCCAGTTCTTCTCAGCTCCTCCCCAAGAAATCTTCAGCACATTTCTTTTGCTGTGATTCTGTCATTCACCACCAAATGTTGTCCCTCTGCAAGGTCACTGATTCTTTATTCGTTAGCAATTCTAGGTCAGCCTGCTGTGAGAGTCTCCTCAGTCAAGAGAGAATCACGTTCTGTATCAATGTCTCCAGACAACAGCCCTTCCCAAGCTTTCAGCAAGGGCAATTGCTGAGAATCCCTGTCTTTGATGATCCTTCGGAGGACCTGTATAAATACTTTGAGCATTGCAGTGATGCCATAGAAGACACCATTCAAAGAGGTGGGAAGTGCTTAGTGTACTGTAAAAATGGTCGCAGCAGATCTGCAACTATCTGCACTGCTTACTTGATGAAGCATCAAAAGCTCAGGCTGAAGGATGCCTTTGAGGTACTGTGAGCATGCTGAAAATAAAAATTACTTCTGTATCTGATTAAATGGACTTCTACTTTGGTGGTGTATGAAATACTTAAATATTTAACTGGATGGAATACATTGGCCATCTCAGTAACAATGATTCAGCATTTTGTTTTATGAAGGAACTTAATGAAAATGCCAGAATACAACTGTATTATGTCAATAGCTAATTTAACTCCAATCTGATTCGAAGTGAAAAATATCCATAAAATGAAATTTGTCAGCTTAATTGGTGAAAGTTTGTACTCAACAGTTATGTACTGTAATACTTCGTTAATGCCAGACATTTCAGAAATAGCTTTTCTATGCTTTTACTTGCAAGCTCATTTCCGAGAAACATCATATTTCCATATTTTTATTTTATAAAGAGCAAAATAATTCATTTCCCCCCATCCTGAGATTCAAAGTTATCATCTGCTATCAGAGTCCAGTTTTTGTGTTGTTTCTAAAACTTGTCTGAGCAACAATGTGAAAAAAGAAATGTGTGGATATGAGAGATGTTGATGCTTGAATCAAATTTCCAACTTTCTTTAATAATAGTGTCTGACTCCAGAATTAGTACAGCCTTCAATGTTGGGGGTATATGTGTTTTCCTTAGTATTTCTTGAAATCATTTCATTACCTTTAATTTATTTTATACAATCCAATTCAAAAATGGTGGGTATTAATATTTTTCTTTATTTGCAAATTGCACTTCACTAAGTCACAGAAGGCTAAACCAGTATTTAAATGCAAGCAAATGTTGAATTTATCCAATTCAAATCTACCTTCACCTCCCAATTCACTGATTATGCCTCTGTAACCCTTGGTAATTGACTCCCACCAGAAAGAAATAAAATAAATGACAAAAGCAGGAAATGAGGAGGGAAGTAACACCCTCTCAACAAAAATAAGTTGATCTAGCAAACTACCTTCTAATTTCATAGCCCTGCCAGAGCTATTGGGAAAAACAACAACCAGAAAGTTGCCTTATTTCACTTCTTCTCTTTCTGCCTTAGCATTGTTTGCACTGGTTAGTAATAGATCTTAGGTGTGGTGGCATTTTCCCTCTCACTGCAATTTTATTCTTTTCATTAGAAATGATTGGGATGGGACCTTGGACCTCTTATATGCAAAATACTTGTTCTACCACTGAACTGTAACATTTTCTTATAATAATTGCATGCTATGTTTTTTATAATTTTAGGACAAAGGGTTTGGGAGGGAAAAGTCCTTATGAGCAATGCAATGTGCTTTTTCCCCTACTTTATAGATTGTGAAGAATGCCAGGCCAACGGCAGAGCCTAATGCAGGATTTTGGTCTCAGCTACAGAAATATGAAGACCATTTGCAAAGATAGCAGCAAAGAACTCTTTCTTCAAATACAATTTCTCATAATAAATACATTGATTCAGATTATAATGTTGGGTAATCCCTATAAAGAGGAAGAGTTGAGATACTTCTAGGTAACACCTGAATTTAATATACTAAAAAAAAAAACTGGGATCAGCTACTTTATTATTGTAGTCTTAAGAAACTAGCTGAAAACATAAGTAAAAACCTTTCAATAAGGCAAAATTCAAATCTCTGTAATCTGCTCAAATTTAAGACTAATTAAATGCAGCTAATTTAGTGTTACTCAAGGTCATAGGAAGAAGGCAGTAGCAATTTCCCAAAAATGTTGCCAAGAAAACAGGATGGTTTTGTCCATGCAGTTCCCAGGAGTTAATAATGACTTGATACCTCTATCTATCAGCTATCTTTATTGATATATATTTGAAAAATCAAAATTAGCTCCTTCCCAGATACTGTTTTGAATATACTCTCAATCCTCCAGAGTTTTAAGTAACTTTATTCTGCAAATTATCATTTTTATAAAGTCCCAAAATAATGTGACATAGTACATTTAGCAAACTAGGAAAGAGATGTCATTTTACATGATTATGTGATTTAAATAATTTTCATGAAAAAAAATCATATACCATAATGTTTATTATAAAATTCAGCACTAAAATGATAAACTACTTAAGGGCCTTTCCCCACTGTTGAGCTGAAATGCCATTCATCTATCTTTGAGTGGGCAGAAAACTTTTATTTTCTGTCTCACTTGCCAGTCCCTTCTTGAACCTTCCTCCAAGCTCTTCAGGGTGGGTTACAAATCCCAACAGATTTTGTGCATCTTGAGTTTGTTCTTAGTGTCTGTTCTGATACCTGAACTGAGATGCTTTGCAATTCAAGATCAGACAGATGACTCAACAAAGATAGCTTTAAACAAATATTTAATCCAGGAATACTTGCAAACTCACGGTTATGTAGTTTCTTCTGGATATTACATATTGTCCATCTTTGTAGGTAAAAAATCAATAATTCCTTCACATCAACTTCTAGCGTGGAATAAGACCGTGTGTGTCCTCCGGTGATCCCAAGCTTATCTCAGACAAAGACCTTCCAACCTGGCATGTAGCCAGGATATCCTGTGATGAACTTAGTAGCCCCTCCTACTGACTTGTTAACATGGGATTTACTGAATAGCTAAACTACATTACCCATAAGCCATCTCTTAAGGAGACAGCGCTTAACCTTATAAATGCCAAACATTCTAACATACAGACCCATCTAACTGGCTGATCCAGAACACTCCCCGCTTGGAAATATAATTTCCACTACTAACTAACTGAAATAGGCAAATGGCTGATCCAGAACAGTGTCAGAATAGGAGGAAAACACAACATTAACACCATTACTGCTAAGGACAATTTAAATGTTTTGACTGACAATAAGATGATGGCAGATATTGCTAGGGCATAGTGCTATGAAAAGACACAAATGGGAGAACACACTAAGGTAAATGTTACAGAGAAAGAGATGTGTTAGGGCTATGCCAAAGCATTAGACAAAGATGCTTCACAAACTGTGTCAAGCATAAGTGAAGCCCCCCTCCATGAAATATTAAAGCATTACATTCTTTAGAATGCTTTGCAGCTGCTTCAAGAGCCATTTTTTGTTGTTTTGATGGCCCTAAGTTCTCGGTTTACCTTCCTAATAAGCAACCAAGTGGGAAGATCATTTAAACACAGTCTATTAGGGTACCCTGATAAAGTGGGATCTCCCTATGAAAAGGAGAACCTTAAGACCCATCTTACATTCTTTTTTAAAATTAACACAACAAAAAAATGAAAAAGGAAAATTGGTTGGACAAGATAAGAATAACCCCTCCTTGCACAGTAAATCAACCACAAAGCTTGTTTAAAGTTAGATAACCAGATGCCAGCTGACACTAAGAAACTTTTTCTTATCAGGAGATAGTATCCAGCCATCCTTCTGTAACTTATCTTTTCGGTTTAGGAATCTTAGAAGCTATCTAATCAATCCATACAACCATAGGATAAAGGTTTTCCTACATCCGTCTGTAATGAATCTGAACATTATTTTAAGAGAGAAAACAAGTCAAATTAAAATACAAAACATTATGTGCTAGTTAACAAATTACAAAATCCATGTCATGTGCCCCTCAGTTTCTGTATTGAATGTGCACATACACAGTACGAGGCAACCAGGGAAGGTTTTTCAACAGCTGTTGCAAGCCTTCCAGAGGATGCAATGGATGCTTTAACAGTTGAAGGAGGTATGGGTTATACACATTAGCATACCTTTCAAAAGTGCCTTTTGAAAAGTTTGCATAGCATTGTTTTGATTGGCTTAGAAAATGTAAATATGTTTTAAATAAAATGTTAAACTTAATCTTTGATAGGTATGACTGTCTTAGCCTGTTTGATGTAAACTTGTGGTTCATTAACTGTTCCTGAAGCTGCATAATGATATCCATGTTCTCTGTAATTAAAAATAGAGATAAATATATTATATTTTCCACTCTCTTTGTTTATTATAATTGAGCTAGACCAGGGGTAGGCAACCTTGGCTCTTTTATGACTCATGGACTTCAACTGGCTTAGGAATTCTGGGAGTTGAAGTCCATGAGTCATAAAAGAGCCAAGGTTGCCTACCCCTGAGCTAGACAGTATCAAATCCATAGACACTCCATATTGTTAAACTGCAAACAAATGAGAAACTAAGAATCATACATTCTGTGCAAATAATTTGATGAAATAGATGTAGTTGAGTAAAACTAAGCTGTTTTCACGTTTAAAGTGCAAATATAATGTGGTTGGCTACCCCTCCTTTCCATCCCTGATCATCCAAGGTGGCTAAGAGAAAAATCTACATACATAAAGTTAAATATATAATCAGTCACATATATACAGTAATCAGGCCTGATTTTGGATCTAAGCAGCTTATATTTTTGGTGATGAAAATGAAAGATGTAACAGAATTTTAGTTTACAAACATAACAGAAGATTGTCAAGACTAGCATTGACCAGAAAACTAAAATCTTTTTTGGATCATGGGAAAATAGGTACCCTGACAGTATCAAAACGAAAATACCTGTGATAAGTGGCATGCCCATTCACAAAATGCCAAAGTATGGCCAAAGCAGAACAGTTTATTTAAAGGTGAAGTGCTGTGGCTACTCTCAGGATCTGTCTAGTTCTGTAATTTCTTATATTATTTTTTGGGGGGGGGGGCTGGAGAAGGAATTTAGAAATGACAAAAGCACTGGGCTGAGTCACTATTTTCATTTTCTGATAATATTTATGGAGTTTATGTGGAATCTAAAGATATTCTTGGGAATCAGTGTGATTGGTATTTGAATATAGATCTTTTAAACATTGATATTTTATTGTATTTTACTAATCTAGGTGAAATTTTAATATATACTGCTAGTCCATGTATGATATGCCACAATGCTAAATAAATAAATAAGTGTGATTTTGAAGGCCAATTCTTTCCTATGCAGTTTACCAGCTTTTTTCCAATTTTGTTTAAAACTAAAATCTTTTAGCTGTGGATAAAAGGAAGGATACCAAATATACACTGTACCAGTGTGTTGATATGTGATATGTGAAATAGCTTGAATCTCCAGAAGAGAATAAACAAATAGCTCCAAACTTTCGAATGAAATATTAAGTCTGATCATCTAAAAGACTGCCTTCTCTTAGCATAGCATTGGGAGACTTCATGGGGGAACTTTTGGTGTTCTCGAGGAGAGTGCAAGAATTTGTATTTATATTAACAGCTTAGCTCAGTGGTTCTCAACCTGTGGGTCGGGACCCCATTTGGGGTCGATCGACCATTTCACGAGGGTCACCAAGCAAGGCTGTCTGCCATTTTTTTTGTCCGCCATTTTTCCCCCTTTTCCGGCGGGTGCCATGGTCCTTGGGCTGGGCCAGCTGGTGGTCGGCCTGCTCCATCTCTGCCGCTTGCCAGCTACGCCTCGGCCGGTGCAGGGGGCGGAACCACGCATGCGCGCGCTCCCAGGCAGGGAAAGTCCTCAACTTACGACCAGTTGGGTAGTCCTCGACTTACGACCGGTTTAGTCCTCGACTTACGACCGGTTTAGTCCTCGACTTACGACCGGTTGGGGTCGCGGCATTAAAAAGGTTGAGAACCACTGGCTTAGTTGCTTCCACCTGCTTTACCTCATCCCAGTATCAGCAGTCTTCTCCAACTCCTCTTGCCTGATGCTGTATTGTTCTGAGATTACTATAGTAAGGGGAAAGTTTTACTGAGAATGGAAAAAACCCTGATAAAGTAAAGGATCTCTTCCTATGTGCTGTTTGAAGGGGCTTGTGATTATAATGCTAAATTTTTCTGCTTGGTAAGTATAAGAAATCTTTTTTGATATTAATTTGCCACATGCTTTTTAAAAATTGATATGCTTTAAATGAGTTGAAACTGAATGTGAGAAGATATTTAGGTAATGTAGGTTGATTTCTCTAGCTAAATGGTCTACTGTAGATAGATATCTAAATGTAGATAGTTGGATTTTTATTTGAAAATGTATATAAATAGATTATTAAATACATAATTTATTCCTTACACTTCAATCATATTCATGTCAGTAAATAAGCCTCATTTCACTGTAATTCCCTGCATTTATATTATTTTATTGATATGACATCCCTTTTCTCAAAAAATATTCCACAAAAGATGGGAAGTAGATGGGGTTTGTTACTGAACAAAGTACACAGCTGGACCTTTAAAATGCACTCTAGACTATTACAAATCCTATTTATACCTATGATTTTTTAAGATGAATAATTCACCTTAAATACCTTTGATTTCCTTTGCATGATGAACATGTCAACAGGATCCCACCAACTATGGAAAGAAGGGAACCAGTCCAACCTAGATACAGTGCATATCCCAGTTCATATCTAGAATAAAGATAATACATGTAATATTCAAACACCACATACTATCAAATACTTTGTTGTCATATGTCACAGTTATTGCTATAAGAGAAAAATGGTTTTAGGGCGGAGAAAGCTCAAAGAACTCCAGGTGATTGATACATGGGAATGGAAGAATTAAAGGCTGCCTGCACAACTGGGATTAATGCAGACAAGTGGGATTATCAAAAAAGGGCTGTAGTGATACATTACATCTGTATTACAAATACCAAGAAAGATGAAGGTGAGTCCTTGTTTCCCATGCACTCCAATATGTCCAAAAGATAGACATTAAGTATCGAGAAAACAAAAACCAGTAAGTTCCCCAACCTGGGCAATTTCCAGATGTGTAAACTTCCATTCCCAAAATTTTCAATAGTGGTAAAATTGAGGAAGATTGTAATAATGCATGAAAGCATTATTTTAATTGTGTTAATCTTTGTGAACAGACATAACAAGAAATCTAACACCATTTTAATGTCAAACTTATTA